TACCAGATTTTTATTATACTTATATACATTCAATATGGGTAGAGGAAAGTATATTGAACTTTAATAACAAGAAATTACTACTAATAAGAAATTAGTAGTAAAACTATAATTCAAATTGTATGGCTTATATAATTTTATATTCGATTTGTCTAAAATAATGCAATTTGCCAAATAAATTGAATTACCGCAATTGCAAAAACTGCAAGACAAAATGCTGTGATCTATATACTAACATAGATTTATAATTTGAAAATTCAAACAAAATTCTTATAACTCTTCAGGGAAATCTGAGAGCTGCTAAAATTTCCTACAATCTGAAGTCCTACAATTTGAAAAAAACGGATATTAGGTAACGGTAAATTTTAACGGCCATTTTGTTTTTGTGAAGTTCAAATACAGTATGTTACATTAGAAGAAGTCAGCCATTATTTTTCTGCTTCTACCAAATTTGAGGAATGCCAATGGTTTTGGTCCAATACATATTTTAAAAAAAGGCATTTTTAGAATTTTGGGGTGCTACAACTTTTAGGGGGTTGGGGGAGATAGGTAAAAATTTGCTTTTAACGAAATAAATGTCTAGTAAAGATCCATATATATACATACATATAAAATTTCAGTTTTCCATCTTAAACGGGGTAGAAGTTTTGTAAAAATATCCACGAATGGACAAAGTGAAACTAGTAAGCACTTTTGTTCAAATTTTTTTTTTTTGGAAAAATTTTCTCTAAGATCATTCGAAAACCTATTTGAATCATGTTCCGGTTCAGTTGAAAGATTTCTTTGCAAACCTTGAATTTCATGATTTTAACTCTGAGTAGGTTTATTAATTGTGAGAATTTCTCAAACAAAAAAAACAATAATGCATTTGTGCTATATACTTGTAATATTTACCTACCTATATAAATTATTAAATATTTTTTTCAAGTTCTCTATAAGTTTGTGTATTCAGTTATTGGCTCATTATGCGGATAAGCTTGGGTAAATTCGCGGTTCGAAACGCAGTGTATTTCTTTAGGTAGGATAAATGTCCTATATTGCAAAATTTTAATAGAAATAATAAAACAGAATAAAGTGATTTAATTGCTTATTAACGAACCTACATATGAAATTGCATTTACCAATATTTTATACACTTGAAATTTTTTACGTTTTTTCTAAATGGACAAAATAATTATAGTGATTCACAATATAATAGGCACACCTTTTTCAAATTAAGATAAAAAAATTTATAAATTATTATTAACAGGTAAAAAAAAAAATTTTTTTTTAATTAGTCATTTAACTAAATTAAAATTTCAACTCAAAAATTGAGAATATTGTAACACAAAAAAATTTTATAAAATCAAATAAAATATTTTTTTTTTTTTGTTATCAGCTAGATGTGTAGTTATTGTTTGTACCTTTGTAAAAATGTTGAAAAATTTCCAAGATAATGAAAATTTTTTAAAAGAAAATCATCAACCCTAAGAAGAGAGAGATATGGGATTTTGGATTCATTGTTATAAAAAAATTTCATTTAATTGTTATTGTTGTTTTTGTTTTAAAAATTTTTTTTTGTGTGTGCTAAACGTAATTGAAATATTTAACAAAACAAAAAAGAAAAACACAAAAATAAAGATCCTTTTATTGTAAAAATTTTTGTGTTACTTACATAATTTACGACTAACATTTTTATCTATACAATATACAAACAATAAGAAAACATACAAATGTACTAAAACACATTTCATACAGTTTACCTTTTAATAGAAATATCGAAAATTTCAAAATTTATTTGTTTCCTATTTTTGAAATGAAAAATATCAGCAGGATACAAGTAAGTAAAAACATTTCGTTGAATATCACCTGATGCGTGATATTTTGAAAAAAATCCTTGTGATCCTTTTCATAAAATGAGAGTAAAAATTATAAGAAAATTTTTTCCATAAATGAACCAAACTATTTTATACCTGAGAAAGATTTTATAATATTTGACTCATTTTTTCTATATATATATATACGTATATATATATATATATATGGTATATAAGTATATATATACCATAGATTTTAAGGTACAGTAAATAATTGCAATACATAATTATTAGAATGGCTTAATCTACACGAATTATATGTACGTATAGCTATTATTTTTAGGAAATAAACCCAATATATGTACATACACACATACATATATGTAATTCTATTATAGAATATCTTATAAGAGAAATTTAATTTTTCAAGTGCATATTGAGAATTAAATATTTTAAGTAAATTATAAATGTAATAAGTAATTTTAAATTTTATTAAAGAGATGTCGTCGGTTAACTTCGATTATCCATCGAAGTTAACTACTTATATCGAATTCAATCGATAAAGTGTTGTCCAAAATAAAACTGGTGGTTCCTATAAAAATTAATACAGTTGAAAATATACAGTTTTCAGTAGTTAATCTACTGATGAATTTGCAAAAACAGATCATGAATTTTGCAAGAAAACGATCATCCACTATTAATTTATCTAAAATTATTAATTTATTAACTATTAATTTATCACAGGAAATGTAAATTGAAAATTGAAAACCTGTACCTGTACCTAATCTACCCTGTATACCAAAATTCTATAATAAGATTCGGACTCTAAAAAGATTATAAAATTAAACAAAATAATGATTGAAGAAAAGCCAAACTGTAAGTAGGTATTATTAATTATATATGGAGTAATTTAAAAAATATATACAATTTAAACTGCCTATATAATAAATCTTTTCTTAAAAACAATATTTTTCGTATATGGGCTCAAAAAACATAAAACCAATGACTTTTGTTCAAACGAAACTAAAAAATATGATTTGAGTGACTTAAAGTGTGTACATATATTAAGAGTCGTGCTGTGTCTCTCTACTAGATAAAAATATAATTTTTTTTAATTAAAATTCATAAAAATGACAGCTACGCCACTGACTAACTCATAATGTACGTCTACGTATACAAACGTGTGTACGTGTAAGAATTTGTATTTATTCAACAAGTTAAATGCACTTGCATACAATACCTTGTCCTTTTATTATAAATTCAAGTTAAATATCAATGCACTTACATTTGTATATATACAGTAATGTAGATATATATATATATCCTTAAAGTTATCCTTTTGAAAACACAATGCGTATAATATTTTGCCTTTGTGCAATAACATAAATTGTTTAACAGGTAAAAAAAAATTAAAAATAATATTCCGGATAAGAACAAAAAAAAAAATGACTATGGGGAGAGCATATATTACACATATATATATATACATATATATATTTTATAAAAGGATCTTGGAAAATTAAAATGTTATAGTGCAGATTTTTTTTTGTTTAAAATGAGTTATTTAAGAATTTCAATTTTTAATTTTATTGTATATATATAAATATATATATATATATTTATATATAATATATGTACATAATATTTTAGGTATGACGAACGTGATTAATACAACGTATATATATATACAAGATATATATGTATATATATAATATATATATACATATATATGTTGTATTAATCACGTTATGCACATACATATATATATATATATATATGTGCAATACTCAAAATTGTAAATCAATAGCAAGTAGAGTATGTGGTATATGTGTGGGTACAAAGTTACGTTTTCTTTTTGCGTTGAGGATAATTTCATATTCAATTACTATAAATATTTAAATAATGAGTAAAGGGAAAAGAAAGAAAAATTTTCAATTTTTAAAATTTCTTCAATTTTTTGTAATTTGCTTATAAGTTTTATCCTATTGAATTATTTACTAAATACAGTGTTGTGCGAGAGTATTTAAGACCATTATACGGAAATTTATAACTACTTGAACAGTATTTGTTTTGCAAGGCAAAAAAATCGCGTTAGGAAACATTAATTCTATTCTTGTTTCTTCTTGAATTATACATTTAAAAACTAGTGTATAGTTCGTTTTCGACCGCTCTATATTAATTCTATTTTAATATTATTTAAGACAATATAAGTGACGAGTATTTCACTTATGAATATTACACTAATTAAATTGGAAAACAAGTAAAAACGTTTCAGTTGGTATAAGCTGATTGAATTATACCTTGCACTTTTCATTGTTGTATAGCAATTACTCGAAGCTCTGAAACCATTCTATAAAACTTAACGTATATATCTGACCTATAATTAGACATACGACTGCCAGATTTCATTAATCTCACTTTATTATTTTTCCAAATATTTAATATAAGCTTAATAATAAATCAACGCAGAATTTTATGCTGAACAAAAATATATATATATGTCCATACCAGAGACGACTCCTTCAAGTATTTACAAACTCTATACCAAAGTTAATTTACTCTTCGCGAAGGTATAGGGTATAATAAAGTGAAAGCTATACACTAGAACTAAATGTACATATACGGCACAAAAAAAAAGTTTAAAATTTTACAAATATCAAAATTAAAATCGGACAATTTTCGATAATTCAGTTCTATAACGTATAATCGTATAATATGAGGAATTTATAATTACGTTCATTAAATCTAAACCGAGACAAATCTACAAAAATAGCATGCATAATTGATAGAAAGTTCTTAAAGGAATTTTTAAGTTTCTTTATAACTACTGCAAAAATAATTCTAAATTAGAAGAAGAAGAATATTGTTATAGAAAAATATTATCTGTATTGAAGAATTAGTTTCGAGTATTCAAGTTACGAAATCTGTAAAAGTAAATTTCCGGTAGATTTCTAAACTGTATGTGCGTTAAAAGATTTAATTTAGAATGAAATTTCTGTTTATTTTCGAATATCCTCTATTATACTGTATTGTATATGTATAACACAATTCAGTCATTTAAACTCTTGCAATCTAGAGCTCTGATATATTGTAACCCCCATTACCGTGCATTTTTGATATCAGAATTTTGTAATTAAAATTAAAAATATTTCAAAATTAAATAATAAACAAATTTTTAAGAAAATAAAAATTTTTGAATTTACTTACGTTAGCGGGAAATATGTTGGTAATGTGTAAGCATCCATTTTAAAAAAAAATTTTGATTTTTCGCTATTTAATAAAACTTTTTTTTTTATGTGTGGGTTTTGTAAAGAACAAAAATCTATTATAATTTTCTTGTATTATGTTAAAAAATTTGGAAAAAAAATTGGGAAAACAAAATTAAAATTATAGAAACTTCACATATGTTTTTTTTTTTATTTTTAATTAAAATAAATTTTTTAATAATATTTTTGTGAAAATTTTTCAAAAATTTTATTCAAAATTTTTTTTTGAACAAATTTCAATTTTCAATTTATAATTTTTTTTTCTTTTTACATTTTTTTTTAATTTGACTTTTATTGAGTTTTTTTTATGAATTATAATTATTTCAAATTGTGGTGGCACTTTTTATTTTAAACATTTTTTATGAGAATCATTTTTAATATTAAAAAAAAATTCCTGAAAAATAAAGAATAATTTCCTTGTTTTAATAAAAAATCAAAAATAATTTTAAAATTAAATTTAAATGATCACAACTTAAAAAAAAAAATTTTGTAGCAGTTTGGGGTTAAAATTGTCTTTTAACAATTGTCAGCTATCAGTCCGTAAACCCTTCAGATTTGGCACCCATTCAGAAACAAAAATTTTACCTCTTTTGATCGTCTAACAGTTTAACCAATATTGTATTTTTTTGAATCATTGGGGAATATTCAATGTATAGATATATTTTATATATATATATATATATATATATATATATATACATAAATACAATATGAAAATAAAAATATTATAATTCGTTTTCATTTACATAAGTGTATACTTCTAAATCCTAATAAGAAAAAAATATAATTTTGCCGTCGGTATTTTTCGTATTGTATAATGGTTTATTTCCGAAAGTTACCCAAGTCCAGATTTTAATTGAAAATGAAATATTGTTATATTCCGTTTTCGGATTTAAAGTATATAACATTAAAATATCGAGTAATTATGATTATTTGCTTTTTATAGAATATTTTATGTTCCTATATTTGAAAAATAAAGTTTTGATATTATTGTTTTGAAAATAAAATAATTTTGAAAATGGATGAGTAAGTATAGATCACATTTTCAAAATAAAATATCCATATATGATGGGTTATTTATTATATAGTCACGAATAACAATAATTCAAATATTAAACTATATTAAAGTGTTGTAAATAATAATTAATATTTTGTATATATATATAATTATTGTATATTCCAGAATTTCTTTCATTCAAATATATTATTCCAATCGAGGTTCTCAATTATTACCCAATTTCAAGAATAATATTTAAACATTGCCGAACAAATTATATGTATGTATATATTAAAATATTTAAAAAATTAATGTAAATAATAACTAGAAAATATGCTGTATATTGTAAGTATTTTAAAATACAGAATGAAAAATTCTTAATAAATTTGCCTTTTATAATCAAACAGTTCAATAATCTGATGAAAATCCTAAATAAATATTTTTAATTAAATTCCCAAAAAAATCTGATGAAATTCCTACAATATTTTTAATTAAATTAATTAATCTTTGTTCTTAATTTCCATTCTCTTCCTTATCTCCCTACTTTATGCAGTATGTAATAATAACAATTTAAAACAAAAAATTAATTTTGAGATTATAAATTGCAAAGTGCATGAAATATTTTCATTCTTCTTAGTTTTTTGTAATAAAATCAATAGGGAAATGATCGCCGTCGCAAATTCCACATTTGTTTTTTTTAATATTACAATAAAATCACAATTAAGTAAATAATGAACATATACATACATATATATTTCAAAATTGCTCATATTTTCTGATTATTATATATTATACACAAAATTATATATTATGCATATATACAACATTAAATTTTTAATATTAAATTTAAATAAGTATTTTATATATAGAAATATATAAAATTTATATATAGAAATTAATAGTGTAGTAATGAAAAATTTTTTCAATTTCTATACATATTTGTAATAAACTGAAGTTCAAGAAAAAAAATTGAATATTTCGGATTAATTGATATAATATACCCTATTAGATATAGTTGACATATAGTACCCTATATATTGCATTTTATATTAAAATAATCACCCATCATATAAATATTTTATTTTCTTATAGGCGGCGACGCACATTACTTATACAAAATTACTTATAGTATTTTTTGATTTTATTCAAAATTTATTTAATAAAGCTTATGTATCAAGGTACTTTCTTATACATTTTGAGAGAAATTATATCCAAAAATATATTATGTATGTTAATATCCAAATTGTTATACCAAAATCGTAAAATGCATAACGTGTTGCCGAATGGTCGAAATATACATAGTCTACTATAAGAGAATATTATTATTACTTACTACATGGGTATAGTATAACGGTAATGAAATTTAAAAACATGGTATTTTTGGAAGAAAATATTTTTCATTTTAAAAAAAATTATTCAAAATTTTCGCCAAATTGCAAAAAAAAAATTTCGGTTCGTTTGTACTCCGTGAACAAGCAAGTTTATTTTTATAGAGTTAAGCTTTAAGCAACGTTTTTTTTTAATATAGAAATTGGTCGCATCTTTATTTCCACCTTGAAATTGTTATAACCTTGCAATGCACAAGAATTGATAATATGCGCAATTAAGAGAACCTAAACAAAATTTACAAGTGAACATTTATTAGAATAAAATATATAATGTTATTTTTTTGTGTTTTCTAAAGTGATCGTGTATATTTGTTTAAATTTTGTTTAAAATATTTGTTTTTTTTTTTATTTATTATTAATTATTTATTATAAATTTTTAATATTATTAAGTATTTGTAATTAATTTTTAATTACTTAATTAGCAAAACAAAAAATACACAATATAATTGTTTCAAATTAATTATATTATTTTTCATAATTATTTTAATAAATTGTTGTTCTCTATTTTTTATGACAAATTTTGGATTTACAAAACAAAATTTACATTATTTATATTTTATAATTTTATTTATTATTTTTTTATTAAATATTAACACTTTTTATCGTAATTATAAAGCGATCATTTGTATACATTTTACTTAAAATATTCCAATTTTTTTGTTTTTATTTAAATTTCTTTTAAAATTTTAAAAATAAATTAAAATTAAAATTTCTATATATAGAAATAAATGATATACACATTATAATTATAATATCAGAAAAAAAAAATTAAATATTTAAATACAAATATATAGGAATATATATATACATACAGAAATATGTACATAAATATCCTCTCTATATAATAATTATATGCTCTTTATTATTATTTGTAATTCATAATTAAGTTATCCAAACGGTTGAAAGGATCGTGACGTACTAAACTACTACCGAGCTCACACATTTTTTTATCAAAAAAAAAAAATAATAAAAAAAAATAAATAAATAAATAAATAAAAGAAAAAAGAAGAGAAGTAATAAACTAAAAAAGAAAAATCAAAGCGGAATATATAAACAAAAAAGCAAAAACAAAAGCAAAGAAAAACAAATATAGATGAAAATGTTAAAAGATTACAACACTATATACAGAATGACTATATTAACACAAATATATGTATGTACTATTTATACACCCAACTACACTGATAGATGCAAAATATCTATGTATATGTAAAGGGTATAAGTACGTGAAATGAGCGAGTACGGTACGAACTTCTAGAGGTGGTAATCCATTCGGAATATATTTGATGTCATTCAAGAAATGTAATGCAAATGTCCATTCGAAGTATTGAATTCGATTAGATGTTATTTAACGATCTTGTTTGCCGATTTTTTAAATCGTCGTCAAGTCGTTTTTGATGATCGCTCAATTATAGTCAACGAGGAATAGTTTATTTGTTGAGTAACGCGGTTGCCAGCCCGCTTATAGTGGTTGCATCATGAAAATTTTGTCGCGAATGTGAAAATTATGTTTTTAGAATAAACCTGTTACGAAAATTACATTGACTGGGATCACTAAGAAACGACAAATAGGAAAATTAAGCATGAAATTGCCATAATACACTTTGAAAGTAAATATAAATTTTTGGCATACTTTTACTACATTAATGACATGCACAATATTACAAAACTGTGGCGTATCACAATATCACCAATTTTTTTCGAGATAGTTAATTTTTTTTTTTTAAATTTCTCAGTTTTCATACTTAAACTATCCATGTTAAAAAAAACTCTCAATCAAAAACAATAAGTCTAACATAAAAAATTTACCGTTATGTAGAATTATTACCGTAGAGAAGAACGTTGCACATTGTCCTATATAGCCTCAACAACTTTGAAAATATTATAAATATTTGTCGGACTGCAGGCTTTTGATAATCTGATTGTCTTTAACCCACTCTTCTCCTACACCCCACATGAAAAAATTTTTAAACTCTAAAAAATCACCCATCGGGAGCTGAGAGTCAATCGAAAATGTATATTTGAGATCAGTCAAAATTAAAACAGTAATATAAGTAAAGGCTTTTATATTAACAGGATTCTTAATGGAGTGTAAAAAAGGTAATTTTTATTCAAAATTTTTGGTTAAATTTTCTTTTCACTTGACTTTGCATTTATGACTCGCGATACCAGTTTTTATTATTATTACATACCCCAGTGTAATGAATTCTCTTATACTATAATAGGTATATGCTCTTTTTTTAATATACTCTGCTCTAATCTCTATATTCTATTTCAGTTTTGTACTCTTTTAATTATAATAATATTTTATATGGTTTTAACATTTTTGTGTATAACATTATAAACATTCTTTATAAATTGAATTGCAATATACAAAACAAAAATAAGAAATGCACATTAACAAACATTTATTTCAAATGAAATATATAATATACATATTAAAGAAGAATTTCTCATTTTCCAAAATATTAACTCATACACATGCACACAAATGCATACCCATAGGCAAAAGTAATCAGTGGAAATGAAGCAGAAGAACATAAAAGAAACAGTCTCAACTAAATTTTTTTGAGAATTAAATACTTATATATGTACTTATATATGTACTTATATATGAATTTATACATATAAATAATATACGTTTAAACTAGTGAAG